TGTGTGTGTGTGTGTGTGTGTGTGTGTGTGTGTGTGTGTGTGTGTGTGTGTGTGTGTGTGTGTGTGTGTGTGTGTGTGTGTGTGTATGTGTGTGTGTGTCTGCTCTGTGTCTGTGTCTGTCTGTTTGTGTGTGTCTGTCTATCCGTCCATCTGTCTGTCCCTCTGTTCGTCTTTATGTTTGTCCTGACCGTACACTTTTAGACCCATTTTAGTTATTCCTTTTTTTTTCTTTTAATATATGAGACGGATGAAGACAGATGATGTAGTAGAAAGCGAGATACTATCCTCTGATCGAATCTCGGGAGATTGATCCATTGATCGCCTCCTCCCGCGAATTCCATGGATTTAAGGGATCCCAATGAGCAGCGTTATCCATACCGCAACAAATAAGATAACTGTAAGATTCACCAAATGAAAATGAATTATAAAATTATAATATTTCAAAGTAAAGCAATGATGATAAATTGTGGGATAAGAGTTGGTTCAACAGTGAGTACACTAAAAAACGGTAATTTCATATTCGATTTTCATTCTTTTTTTCCTACTGCACTCCGCGATATCCTGGAGTTATAGGAACAAAGATAATGCCAAGTGATAATTGATCCACGAAAATTGATTGTTATTGAAAATGTTAACCATCTAGCATCTTTCCCTTCTATTCTCTTCGTTTGCTGTACCCCGTCGTATCCGTATGTTATGAACATATCAGGAATTGAAATTCTTTGCAACTGCAGAATGACGATGCTGCAGTAACTGTAACACAATGGAAACGGTAGAAGGCTAATTGAAATAAGCATACCTGCTGAGAAGCAAACCAAATCAGTGGAAGCAAACATTTTTCGGATAAAAATTTATGTTAGGCAATTGAGAGGAGAGAAAGAGATGCATAAACATGCCAAATAACTTTTCAAAAGCTTACAGTTGAATTGAACATTAGTGGTGTAGCATTTGAAAATAGGTAGATGGCAAAACACTTCCTTTTCTTCTTCCTTTTCTCAATTTTGTCTGAAGATTTATCACCTCAAATTTCTCAGAACAAAATGAAAAAATTTCATATTTCTCTTTCTTCTCTCTCTATCAGTTAAATTTTTTTTTCTCTTTCTGTTCTAGAAAATATGCTTCTGTTTTCTGTTGGATTTAAGTTAAAAGAATTGCAACAAATCAAACTCATTTCGTCCTCTTTTTTCTTTCATCATTGCCGCCAAATGGTAGAAATTATATTCCATCACAATTCCTTCTTCTTCTCCGCCATTTGTTATTTCAGTGTTCCTTCTGTGCCTTCTAAAAATTGCAATTTTGTTGTTCGATGAGACGGTGGTGAATCTCTTTCACTTCTATTCATTTTCTATTCCTTCCATCTTTTTGTATTAAAATTTGCAAGTAACAATTGAGTTCCTGTTATTAATTATTTAGTAATACTTCTCAAGGTAAAATTATTTTTAGATAATTAATTTGCATTAATGATACGTATATTTGCGCTGCGCAACATTTCCATGATATTATGTTCGAATCCAATGACATAAATCATTGCTTACTGTGACATTTGCGGTGCATTGGTTTTTCCTGTTAGTTTTATGGAAAATCAGTGGATGCGATGAGCAGACATCTTTTGTCTAATACATTTCTTGGCCAGAAGTATCACATTTATGCCGCTTTTTTTTTTTTGTCTTCAAAAACTAAATGATGCAGTGGATGACCGACCAAAATAATCCTTCTCTTTTTCAGCCTAAAATTGCATTCTGCTCAAGTTGTACTATTAGACCGGAATTTTTTTTTTGAAATTAAAATCCTCTTTTTTTTTTGTTTTGGTTTGAGATATTTGAAACAACAATTTTAACACAAGATGACACGGAGTGAGTCGGTTTTGAAAAAGTTATAAAAATGAATAAGTGAAAAAATTAAGAAGGGAAAAGAGAAAGAAAGGGAATAGAATTCATTATAATACAACTATATGGAATCCGGAAACTGGAAGATGATATAATGTAGCGCCAAATTGAACGAACAGTCTAATGCATTTTCTGATCAGGTTGTTGAATTACTTTCAAAATTTTGTCATTCCATCTTTTCATTTCGATGAAATAACTTGTCCTCTTTTTTTTTTTCGAAAACTTTACAAGACTGAAAAAAAAAAGGAAAACATTTTCCTCCCATCTATTTTATTCCATAGACTTTTTAACTATGATTGAAAAAGAAGGGAAATAATAAAAAAAAAAGAATACAAACGACCAAACGAAATGCCATAAAATTTGGGCAATAGTTGAGAAGGAACCGTTTTTCATCCTAAATCGTTTGCCTTTGCGGCGCATTTTTGCAAAGAAAAAAAGAGTATTTTTGAGTCTTACAGCAAGGAAAAAAAAAAAACATTTTTGAGAGTAAATTTTATAGCTTTTATGCCAGATGGAAATTTGAACTTTTCGAGAAAGTACAAATAAATGAAATAACATAAAATATCCAAACGAACAGTTTGAATTTTTCTCTTCCTGATTGTTTCAATAAAATCTGAAAATTAAAATACTTCGAAACTAGTATAATTAGTTTAATTGTATCTCATTAAGACACTTTTTTTTTTGGACAATTTAAAAGAAATTTAATAATTAAAAAACTTGTTATTTGAAATAACATTCAAATAATTATCGTTGTGTGGTATGATAGTTTATTTTTAGATAGTTTGTAGTGTTGGTATCACTTTATTTTCAGTTATCCAATGAACCTAGCACAGATGAAGACTACGATGACATTGCTATGTCAATGTTTAACATTCTATGACAGTTGTAAACTTTTCCCTATTCATCTGAAAAATCGTGCACTATCATTGAACACAACATAATTAATTAACTGATTAATTAGTTGCTAATTGCATGTTAGCTATCTTTCTACTTTTAGAATAAAATATTACGTTCTTAATCAGTTTGCTTGCGTCAATATTTCCTTTTTTTCTACTTCGCAATTCAATTTTCGATTTTGAATTTTCAATTAATTCGATTAGTCTATGCTGAAACACTTTTAAACTTCCCTTAAGTTTTATTTTCTCATTTTCTTACTTGCAGCGATACAAACAAACATTTTGATGACAAGTGTTGTACTTTAGGCTCTATTAACCTTTGTACTTTAAACGCTATTAACTTTTGTACATTATGATGTACGGTGTGAGTTAAAAGCAATGAGATATGGATGATGAATGTTACATAAATTGTGAGGATAAGAAATGAATAGGAAAATATTACCGTAAGACTGTTTGATTTATGAGAGCCATCAGTACAAGTATCATGTTATCATCAATGGAAGTAAAATTCATTTCAATATGATCGTTTGTCCGATCAGTTGATCAGCAGTACTGCAAAGGTTGGGAATAAGTACAAATCGGTTAAACACTTAAGAAGTGATTTTTCTATGGAAAGTAACGGATACAGTAAGAAAGTTTTAAATGTTATTTGGCATAGTTATTCATTTCAAAATGATAATTGCATAAACAACAAGTTTTCTGTTATGATCTTTTCATCATTCACTCATTTATTTTAAGTCAAATTGGATTTTTCATTTTTACTCTCTCAATATCTTCGTCAAAATTTTCAAATATGGTTAAAATTGTCCGGCTATCCCATAGAAGATAAAATTGTGCAGTTAATATTGCTGAACAAATCTTGAAAAATAAATTTCTTCTAGGATTAGATAGAAATGAACGGGATTCAAGCAGATTCGGAAAAAAGGATGACTAGAAGAACTAATTCAAATAGTCTAAGTAATAACAGGAACAGGTTGAAGTATAATCTTACCTGTTACATGAGAGAATAAGTACTCAAAAAAATTGAATTTATTGCGCATTCTTTTCAACATTTGATTATATTATCGAAGTAAATTTCACAACTCTTTTCAGAATCAAACTGAACCAAATTTCAATTTTGATCAAGAGGATGAAAGGAATGATAATAGATGATAACATTCTACCACTGATTGACTTGCAAAAGTTTCCGGATGAAGATATGCCAATACAGATCACTAACAAATATCATGCGTCCGGTATCATTCCTTCTTTTTTTTTTGCAATGATTTTGTCAGTGAACAAAGATTGTTGTGGTAAATTTTGTTTGGTTATTTGTAAGATGGAATGGTATAGCGAAAGACCATTTTTGGTATGAGACAAATGCGCGGGGCGGTCCTGCCAGTAATAAATACCCGCAAAACCATTTAATGGGTCATTGTTGCGATATATTATCCTTTTGCAATTCTTTTTCTTCTGATTTTTTTCCAGTACCATAAGTCTTTTCCTTTCCTCTTCCCTCTTTTTTTTTTTTCTCACTAGAAAAAGTCCACCATTCCCATTCAAAAGGTATCCATCCGATCTATAAGCAAAGAGAATAGATGAAAGGATTTTAGAAGGAAAAAGGAAAGAATCATTTGAATGGTAAAAGCCTTTTTTGTTCATTCCCTTTCTTTCTTTCTTATTTTCTCTTCACCAACTATCACAGATTACCAATATTTTGTGATAACTGAAACTGAGGTCATTAATTTGCATAAATGCATCCTAACCACACTTTTTTTTTTGGTGAGATAGAGGGTTGAAATAGCTGTATCAGTCTGAAGTGCTATTATAAAAATTGCATTTGTAATATTTGCCATATATTACATCTAAAATAAGTTCAAAGAAACGTATACCAATACCAGATATAACATATTTCTTCATTTTAAATACTTTTTTTTTGTTTGGATATTAAATATTAAAAAGGATTCATTGAAGATATTATTGAAATTAAAATTAGTCAAATTAGTAATGAAATGTTATGAGAATGATCGAATTACTAATGGAGTCACATCGCTTTTATTAGTTCTTTCAAAAATTATTGAACAAATGCTTAATGTAAATGATAAATGGATGAATCGCTTGATAAAACTACTGAATTAAATTTAATTGAAATTACAAAAGAATCTAAATATTAATCATTTCATTTATTCATTTAGGTACTTAATGTTTAGCTTTGATACATTACTCGGTGATTCTTCCCATACATGACATTGTCGTGAAATTATCAAGGAATTGATATTGTTGACAAGTGGGAAGAATGGTTGACTCATTTGCAGTGTTTCATTGTGGGAAGTATTTCAACTCACTTTTTTTTTATCAATCTCAAAAAACATCCAGACGAAATTTCTTTAATGTTTTTTCTTTTTTTTTTTTTTTTACGAGATTGACAACAAAAAAAAAAGGAATAAAATTAATGATAAGAGATGAATTGAGAGAATGCAGCATAACATGCAATGACATGCAGCTGGTTGATGACATTACAAAGAACAATCACTACTGATACCATCTTTTTCAAATATTCCTTACATCTGTGCAGTATCAATTAACATCCGGCAAGCATTCATCTGCATATTACTATCTTTAGAGCAAATGGGGAAAAAAAAAAGAATGTGATAGGTTCATCTGCATAAAATGTGTAAACAATATGTTTGAAAGAATGTAAAGGAAAAGTTGATATGATCGGGGAGACAGGGAAAGAAATGGAAAGAGTGAATATATTGTTCTTTCTTCGGATCGTTGGATTTTTTTTTTTTTTTTTTCTAATATCTGCAAGAAGAAAGTGTGGGAATATTCATTCTGATGGGCTTCTTCGGAATAATGCAATTTCCGGTTTAGAATATTTTGTGAAATCTAAAATATATGTTTATGTGAAACTAGATGATATGATAGATTCAAGATCCGGAATGGTATGATGTCTTGGACATCAATTACTCCAGGGGACAATCACTGTCGAGTTTTTACAATGTTTTCTAACAGGAATGATCCTTCTTCATAACTGATCGTTTGTATATTTACACCTTACTCAAAACTTTTTGTCTTAATTACACCATATGCTGCCACATTCTTCTAGTAATCGCGGGGGGAGAGAACCGAGAATGGTATTGATTGATACTTTAAAAGACAATGTAAAGTTGACAGGCTTGTACGAATTGATATCACTTATCCTTAATAAATAATCTATACTTTTCAATTGCTTCTTTGAAACAAATTGATCCGTCGTGGTTTCGATCTGTCAAATATGAAAATAATGTCCAGACTTATTGTCCACTAGACTGTCCATATTTTCTATAAACATCAAGATTTTCCAATGACTTTTTTACTAGTCATATTTTGAAAATCTCATCCTTCTCACCAGTCATTTTCCTTGAAAACAATTTATTGTCAATAACTGTTGCAAATGAATCGATTATCCAAAGATTGAATGTATTGGTAAAAGGGAAATTACATTACCTTTGCAGGTGAAATTTTTTTTTTCTTCCTCTTTGCATCATTCCCGGTGCATTTCTTGAGGTTTAAATTGCAGACAATTGCATTATCACAAAGCTTCTTTCAAGTTTTATTCTGTTAATTGGAAAAGAAAGATCGATTACATAATTAGTTAATTAGATTTCGCCCAATTTCCCGTTTAATTTATGGATTCGTTGCAAAACTAATCGTTGCGATTTATTTATCGATACTGCCAGCAATTTATTTTTTAACCATTTAATTTTCTATGTTAAACAAAATCGAAAAAACAGATTTTTTTTTTTTCCTGTTGCAAGATCGCAGGAGACAGTGATGTACTTTCCTAATGAGAAATTTATTATCTTTTTAATTGCCTCCCAGCACTGTTATCTTTTCAGTAATAGATGATAGCAAAAAATTAGCGATCATTTGTTACTTTTCATCTGTTCAATTTATTCGCTTGTTTATTAATTGTAATGATAACAATTATCAGTATGGTATTTCGAACATAACCTTTCTGATCTTATCATTTATAGCTACCGTAAACCAAAGTTTTATGGTTTTTTTTTTTGAAACAAAATTTGGTAAGGCGAAAGTAATCAATCGATAAACGATTACTTCATAACTGATCCATTTATTTTCTTGGTTTCTATTTGCAGAAATTGACAGCTTTTGACAACTGATCCATCGGATTCAAACTTATTGAATATTGACTTACATATAGCTATGGAAAGACTTCCTTAATATAAGTTAAGGTATTGAGAAGGGAAAGATTTTTCTAATTACATATTTCAATGTTCTTCTATAAAGGAATGTTTTTTTTTTCGAGAACATTGAAGCACATGTTGCAACAGCAGACAGTCTTAACTAGTCGAGAGTCGAGAGTGAATCTAGTCTGTCTGTCTCTTGAAGAAATAAAACAAAAAGAAGAAAAAGCAGAGAAACTACGTCACATTCCTGCTGTTTTGTTGCACTTTTTTACATCAGTTTTCCCTTTGCTTCCCGTGGAATTCCACTTTTTTTTTTTATCTCCCTTTCTCTCCCTCCATTTTTCTGCGGAGAGAAAGGATGACCATGAAGAGGACAGGAGACATTGAGGGAACAAGAAAAAGATGATGATGACATCTTCCAGCTGTGTTCATAGCTTTTAAAAGGAAAAAAAAATTTCAACGTAATCTTCGTCTTTTTTCCGCCTTTCTGTTATTAAAACCATATTTTTTTTCAGAGTTTTCAAATCGAATCATCTTATCAAACTTATTTCTTCATTCAATTTCACATTTAAATTTTGGAATTAATTCTCTTTTAGACCTTTTAACAACAAATTACTAACTTGAAGACATAAATATACGTGAAAGTAGAAACTACACGTGCTTGTACGTACGTGTAATTTGCTGTCTTTCAAAAGATTACTTAAAATTGAATTTGTGTTTCCAGTATTAACATCCTATAGAAGTCAAATGAAGACGTGTGATAGTCTCATTAAAGGTATGTGTGCAGCAAAGGCCGATTTCTGTTGGCTCTAAATGGAGAATAACTTTTCACTGCAAGAAATCTTTTTCATTTTCTTGAAAAGCTACCAGACACGTTGACGTGAACGCCTCTTTTACGTGAATAATTCCGCGGAATGAATATGATTGGGTTTCTATCACGTTAATATGATAACGCTAACTAACGTTGTTTCAAAATCAAACATTTCAAAAAAAAAAAACACTTTCTCATATTAAACAGTTAAACATTTTCTCATATTTGTCTGTAAAGTCTATTTGCTGTCATTATCGTAGTCATAGATGATAACACTCAGAATACGGTAACCATATGAGAGAAACAATTAAAACTTGTCATTTAATCGTTGTCAAATTATCATTGTGTTAGTTCATAACGCATACCGATGTAACATTCGCAGTATATACGTATATGCCTGTATACATGTATGCGTACACGTGCGCGTGTGCGTGTTTGTGTACGTGTGTATGTGCATGTGCGTGTTACATGTATGCGTACACGTGCGTGTGTGCATGTTAACAATAAGTGTTAAGTGGCAACTATTTCATTAAGCGTCAATTTTAGTGAAAAAAGATTAATTCAAAAATGTATACAATGAAAAAAGAATATATTTGCTGAGTTCATTTTAAAAAGTTCATGAACCTGTCATTTTAGTGCTCTTTTCACGTATACCTTTTTTACCTTTTCTTTTTTCTTTTCCTTTTAATTGTTCTATTATCAGTTAAAGATTAAATAGTGATATCATTTGATATTTGGCATTAAGATTTTACAGGAAGCCATTACTTGTAGTTTTGACTTATTTGATGGATAAGTGGAATAGATGAATGCTATTTTAGTATCACTGATATGCAGCTATTGATATTTACAAAGACATATAAGAAGGGAATAAATTGATGAAATAAATTTCAATTCTTCCTTTCTGATAGAGAGACTTAATAAGAAAATTTTGTCCATTTTCCTTCCAAAACATTCCTTCCCATTCATTTTATGCTATTATTTTAATACATATATAAATGGAAAAGACAATATGTAAATTTACTGAATGATAATTTTTGAGCTAAAAACTAATTTATTATATTAGTAGTGACTTCCTCTCCTTACAGTTATCCGATCAGCTATTCAAATCAATCGTCTACAAATGAAAGTGTAAAAAGTTTTCTACTGAAGGAAAATTTCTGCATCCTTAATTTTTCCTTAACTTATAAGCAAAATATCTGGTCGTCTTGATTATTAAACCAACCTTTTTCATCGCTCTCTCATTTCTTCACCTTTTCTGACAATTATTTTTGTTGTTTATTTGACTCATCGAATTCTCTGCTCTCTCATATTACTGCTTATTTGTTCGATTCCATTGCACTCCTACTTTATCTTTTTTTTTCCCCAACATTTTATCCCAATACCGTCCCTCGATTTTCCATGTTCAATCCTTAGAACGATTACCTTCTCTTCCGGAATGTTCCGCATTTTCTAAAGAACTTCATTAATGAATAGAGTTGATTCCTAAGAACAATATTGCACCTTCTTCCTCTTTCTCTTTTTCTTCAACATTTCAATTTTCACCTCCACACCACTACAGCAATACCTTTTCATGGAATATTGTCGTCTCTTATGACATTTCATTGAAATTCATTATACATTACAAAAACATTTCAGATTCGATTAATAAAATCTCATTTACATATATATATATATATTGTTTGCTCTTAGTAAATTAAGTTTAACATAATAGAATTGTAGTTTATTGATGGGCCCATTTATCTTGGCTGCTTCTATTTTTAACTGGACTGAGTTGTCTGGGCAAATCATTGTCCTATCCATCCCTTTCCATTTTAGCCATAGCAATGCTTACTTAAGAGAAACAAAAGGAAGATATTAACAACTTTTATCTATCGGCCAACTGAGATGAATGATTGGAAGGAACTCAATTAATGGAATGATTTAAAACCCTTTTGTGTGATGCCATATGTGTTTAAGTATGGAGAAAAAGAAAGAGGAAAAAAATAATATCAAAGAGAAAAGATAGCTAAAATTTGCGCTCAATTGGTATACTTTTTCATGTGCTCAACTATTGGTTTACATATCTTTTACGCATAAGCTCAAAAGTTGTCCTTTGAGGTTATTTTAACCGAACCAAAAAAAGGACAAATGAAAAAGGTTTTTGTATTTTTAGCCATCGAAATCAGAACACAGTATCATTTCATAAAACTATACTCCGTGCAACTGGATCAATTTTTTATATTGAAGTAAAAAAACCAGTTCTTCAATATACGGTATAGCTCCTTCAGGGTGAGAAGAAATGAACTCATTTTAGCTTCTTTTAAAATGAGAAAAGGACCTTAAAAACGGTCGCTTTCTCCAGTTTCTGTAACAGAATTGCTTCCGGATCAGGAAAACTATTAGCCGTTTGGTTGGTATTTATGATGTTAACGAACAGCAGCTAAACAACTGGGCTAGCCTTTCAGATTTGTTTCGTAGGTATGTAACATTTTCATGGAAAGATCAATTACTTTAATTTGTTCTAGTAAATTTAAACAAATCGATCGTTGGTATATTATGCCAACTTTTCATCCTTCTTCGCTTTATTCCTTTTCAGGAATCACTTCTATGCTGTGAGCACAATGTCACTATAGTGTCACAGTAAGAAATACTGAACCACATATTAGAGGAATTCTGTCCAAACGAAAACTACCTGACTGAGTGACCAAAGTACGGTAACGGTATTATGGAAGTGGGTAGCATCTCACTGGAATGTGGCTCGGTACCACCATTTCCTGTTAATGGTATTAATTATTTGCCGATCCCGTCATGTCAACAGTCTTCATCATCTTCAGCGCATGGTTCAGCCTTTTCATCACCAACTTTCTCCTCCCTTGCACCACTACTCTCCAATTGTGAGGTTATTTTTAACATTTTGAAATTATGCAAATTACTTACAACAAAGAAGACTTGAATCACAGAGCGATTCAGAATTGATTAATTCGATAAATGAATGAATTCATAAAAAGACATAGGCTGAAATTCAAATGCCGATGTCCTTCGGGTTGATGACAAAGATATGTATAGATAAATTAGTCACAATATATATATCTTTGTCAGTCATTACAATAGACTAATGGCTCCCAACCTGTGATCCGTGGACCACAGGTGGTCTACGAGAACTAAAATATGGTTTGTGAAGGCGGCAACGCGGTGAGTAAGAAATAGGTAGGGACTGTTTTCTTTATTTGTCCTTTTTAAGCTATACTTTAATTCGTTTGTCAGTGGTTATCAGTTTTATTCGGTTGTGTGTGGTACCATAAGTACCGAAATCTCTTTGTTGAAGTTCTTTTCAAAATAACAAAATTGATTTCTGAACCTTCTAGTCCCTGCTACAAATGAAGAAGCCAAAGTGGTCTCTCGACAACAAAAGTTGGATTGTAGTGGTTCCCAGCTACAATGCAAATTTCGAGATTTATATATTTAAACGGCTAGCCATTTCACTTCATATCATTCAAAAATATTTTTTTAAGCACTCAATGAAATCTGGCGGCACTGTTGACATAGCGGCGGCAGCGGCAGCAGCGGCGGCAACCACCCACAATCCGCTATCAACGATGGCTGTGCAATGTTTCAGTAACGATTCTACGACATTTGGAAGTCCTGTGACGGCAGTGGCAGCAGCAGCAGCAGCGGCATCACAGCCAAATCCGTTCTTCTATGGCGCAAATCATTTTGGCTTATCACAGTTAGTTGATTTTATCATTTTTCAAACAACGCATCTTATTTTCATAAGACTTCATAAGAAAATATTTAAACGGAATATTCCATAACCCATTTCATTTCCTTGTTTTCATCATTCTTCAATGTAGCAATTCTTTTTTTCCTTGGTCGCAGGACTTGTCTCTTTTCTCTTCTTCTTCTTTCCATCTTTCCGCCCTTGAATATAAGGAAGTATAAAATGTCGCCACCGTCTTTATCACATGATCAAAAAATGTTCAGTGCAAACAGTTAATTGTATTGCAAGTCGTAAATTTACAGGCCTTAGAGGGACTTTCTCAAAATGGTTTTTTCCATTTGTATGTTCCACCGAAAGGGATTGAAAATTTTTTTGAGAAAAAACTAAATGGACGCTCAAACACGAATTTGTTGAGATTACTTATTTAAGCTTAGGACAGAAAAAATTTCAGTTATATTTGAAGGCACAAATTAGATAGCAGGAAAGATAGAATGCGGAAATATTTCAAACATCTATCATTTAGTTTAATTCGAAATACGAACAATGCCACTCGTTGAGCCGCATTTCACATTTTTATTGGCCAATAAATGATGGCAATTTGAGCCATGTGATGGCGCAGACTGGTCCCAAAAGCGGCAACGACCATATCATATATGATTGTATTATCGTTATGAATAATGTTTGATATATTGCACAACATATAGATGGGATGCTCACATGCTTTCAGTCTGAAACTTCTTGAAATTCCACTTCTAAATAAAACATGAAATGAGAAAAAAAAAGAACTGGAAACAACTATACTGCTCAGCCTTTAAAAAATCGAATGAATTTAAAATTTGATACATAAACTTATAGTCTCATACTTTCGCAGAAATTTTGAAATCCATTTGGACATCTCAGATGGTATGACTATATCATATGTAAGGGATAGTTTCGATCATGGCAGGATATACTCCAGGAAGCTTAGAGGCAGGTGAAAGAGACAGTATCATCCGCTCAATCGATAACTCTAAAGTAAATTATGATCAAGTGATAATACTAAAGTGATTAAGCAATAAATGCAAAGCAGTATATGAAGTTACAAGAAATGAAAAGGTGTTGAAATAGCCTCTGTTCTATATATGATTGCTTATTCCTGGATAAGCTACCGGTATTTGCGTTAATGTTCAAACGATTCTAGTGATAAAGTGAAGGACACTTGCATACTGCAACAGTGAAACCATTTGCATATTTATCTTTTGAATTCATGTCTCATCACTTTCTTCCCGCATTCCTTCTTATCCAACATTCCCGCGTCTTATGATAGCTGACCTTGCAAAGCAAATCTTTCCTATTCTTACAGCTTGACATTTTATTTTCATTTTCATCGTATTTCTGCCATTTTATGACTTCTTAAATTGGCACTTTAAAACCATCAATTCTTCCTACTTCTTATCCAATACATTTAAACAAGTGAGAAAGTAGAGAAAAGTTTCACAAGCTTATCATGATCTTATCATATGTAAAATCAATCAGTGTGTAATCATCGTAAGCATTGCGCAGGAGACACTATCATATCATAATCATTATCAGAGCAATTTGAAAGTGATCGAATGGTCGTGAATGGCCATTTCATTTCCTTTTTTATCTTGTTTCTGCCATTCTATCCTCAGAAGATACTGTAACGTTGGATGAAAAACCAAAAACAAACATTCTGCAAATAATACCATATACATCTATGTATGTCTGTCTACCTACACATATATCATGGGGACATTTGCTTTCAGTTAGATAAGATAGAGAAGTATCGAGATAACTTTTTCTTTCCCTGATTTTCACGATAAGAGATGAAAAAGATTGCCGAGAAGTCTGCAGTCGATGATAAATATGATAACGAAGTGTGGATAAAGAGGGCGGTGAAATGCGACAATCGCGCAGTGATATACATTTCCTTTATTATCTCTCAGTCTCTGTCCATGTCGACGAAAATAATCAATTATTATTAATTGCTTTTTGGAAGTCCAATTCCCTTTTAATTTAAATCTAACTTCTTTTGAAATCATTGCTGTTAGCTCAGTCAAACATGTAGTTCGAATGGAGGATTCTAGCAGTTAGTGAGTTAATATTCGATTACATCGTGAAGTAATGTCATCAACGAGAGAGTCATATCAAGTGTCATGTTGAACGATCGGATATGAACTAATTCTTAGTACAAATATGTTGCATCATTTATTTTCTGACCAGAAAATCTCACCTTCTCTATGTATCTTTTTTCGGACTACTGTAACATATACAGTATTCAAGAACATATATACTAATGACAAATCAATCATCCGAAGAAAGGGACTTGATCTTTATGCAGCAAAATCCTTGCCTCGAACAAACTTCCCCCGTTATATGGCTTGATAAAATCGCGTTGCATAGCGTACCCATTCGACGGGCCGTGGGCTATGGCGAGGTTGTAAACAAATAATTGGCAGCAGTGGGCGAATTGGGATGGATGAGTCGCTTTGGGGACGAGTTCTGAGAGCGTGACACGGCATTGGCCGGTGTGATTTCGGGGAGTTGATCGGGAAGTTCAGAAAATCGAAATTTTCTATAGCACTCTGAGGTCCTGGTCATTCATCTTTGATGTCAGGTCCTGTTCGATCGTCACTCTGAAGGTATTGTAGTGATCATATCTCATAATCTTCTGACTCTTGTTTGAATGTACATTTCGGGAGGTTTTACAATAAGAATTTAAGCTAAAACAAGCAGATTTTGTGACATGATCTTATATGATTTCTGGAGAGCACCAGGTTTCTTTTGTTTTACTTCGAATTCTGTAATGCTGCATTTCGTTAATATTTTTCTGAACATAAAAGCTTGAGGACTAAACCATTCAAGTGTTAAAAGTAAAAAAGGTATTTGATTTTAGTAAGTTTTGGTAGGTTGCGAGTTGTTCCTAAATATTTTATATTCGAAGGTAAAATGCGGACAGTTTGACAAATGATTGGGCAGACATATCAAAAGGGAGGGGAGAAGAAAGATTTAGAGGATGTTTCCATGTCTCCTGCAACGAACACGTATTTAAAGTTAGCTCTACCATTCCAAATTCATTGCCTTGAATTACAAATCATCAGAAAGCTTTTCCTTTCTTTACGTGCGTTATAGAAACCTAAATCAGTTAATGGTCAGAAGCTGACATTAATATTCGCACTCGTGGTATGGAGTACTTGCAAATGAACAGGTCCTTTTATGGATAAAGGAAGACATAATATTTGGGAAAATGTTCCCTATTTAGGTTCCGGTAGTTCTCGTTCAAAATTTCTCAACTGCACTTACATAGCTGTTGTTCATTATCTTCTTTTTCTGTTCTTCGAAAGAGAACTATATGTATGAAGCAACCTCCTGCTTTTCGACTTATTTACAGATCATCTGTGGGACATCGCGTGGAATCATTGGTTTTTAATAATTTTTTTTTTTCTAAATCTATAGTAATGTGGATCCTTCTTCTTTTTCTTTTCAGCGAAGTATTAATGGCTGCTTATCATCGCCAGGGTATGCATACACATATGGCACCGACAAATTTGGCAACACCGGTCCAGTCACTTCCACCAACCTATTCATCTTGTACATCACTTAATATACCTCCATTCGGAATTCGTAGCACGAATATTTCTTCCTCATCCTCTTTGGAAGGTAAGAATTCAATAATCTGAAAATTTGTTGAGAAAATTGTTGCTGCTACTTTATTTGTTTGTTCAGTGGAGGACTTCAGGCGTTCGATGAAATCTTGAAGTTGGAAAAAAGAGATTTGTTCCAGATTTTGTGTCTTCCCTTCAAGAACCACTTTGTTTTCTTGTAATCTCAGTTTTACGTTAACTTGAAATACTTATAAATCTTATTTACGAGTTGTTGAAATAGAGCTACAGCAATTTTTTAGGTCAATGAAATAAGGAAGAGGAATGTAATCTTAGAATAATATTTTCCAAAAAAGACAATTTTAGTTTTGTGTATTGGAAGATATAATGAACTTGCAGAGGAATCTAACTGAACCATAAAGTGGATCCTAGAACCATTTGCAAGGAGTTCGACACTTTTAAATTTTATTTTTGGATGTGAAATGTATAGAACTAACAGGTTATACTTTCTAAAGTGAATGAAAGTATAGATCTCATATTCATTTAATGAAACCGACCGATTTCTGATTAAACCGGTTGATTGAATGTCATTAGAGATTTAATGTAGCTTCATTTTTCTTCAGCAGTAGAGATATATTAGGAAAATGCAAACACTCACTTACTATAGCATTTTTTATATCACTCCGAAATGTATTCTTTTTTATTTCCGTTAGATATTGTGCGATGTTGCCAGAAATGCAGATTCATGTTTCAACTTTATTTTGGGCCAAATGTTTCGTTTGATTAGCTAAAGACTAATCAAATTCGAACTATTTAGTGGTAGCCATCCAAGCATACTTTACTGTTTCCTTAGCTTCTTATAAAGCTCCTCGAAATATGTCATAGTACTTTTTGGATCCCCTTGTCTCATTATATATTGCATAACATATGGATTTCATGTCAGTTCAATTTGTGAATGTAAATAAATGGCGGTTTGTTAAAAACATAATTTCGTCGTTTTTTCTAAAAATTCTTGGAGTCGAATTCACACCGGTCTTTTTTAGGCAGTCTCATACAAATTTTTTGTTAGAAAAAGTTCGCGAATATATTTTACTTATTTTATTTTACCAACTTTTGAATTATGAAGTATTCGGAACTTTCAGATTTAGCGCTGGATTCATTATTAGGCAGTGAATATAGTCGAAAACGTAAAAATGAGCGTTCAATAAGCAGTTTGCATACATTCTCCGATAGCGGTACTTCGGTGACTTCCTCAGGTTCTTCAGTGCAATCAACGTTGATTAGACCTGCACCTTTAATAACGGAAAATGAATCTAGTTTGTTTCATTCGCAACTAATTATCAGTGATTTTCGGCATACCGTGGAACAAGCGCAACATCTTCATCCAGCTAAGGCTAGTAACTTGGTGCGATTTATTTCGATTTATTGCTTTCCTTAAATAATTTGCCAAATAAGTTAAATTTTAGAATCAAGCTTGTGTGTTGAACAAGTTTTTTTTCACATCATATTAAAGCAATAATAGAGCGTATTTTAGGGAAGTGGATCTGAGTTGCAAAACGTGAATACCAATACGCTTGATCGAAGGTAATTGATTTAATTTGAAATTTGGCTGTGAAGCTGGCATATGGTTGTTCTTCTAATGAATATTTTTCGTAGCTTAGTTAACTATTGAAGTAAAGCGAAAAAATTCTTTCAGATTGCCAATTAAACCTGCTGAAGACGAACATATTGTCACTACTCATATTCAGAATTACGGTGGTGTCGTGCATCATACGCAAAAGATACCTAAAAAGAGCATCAATGGACATAGTACAGGACCGTCATCTTCAGCTCCACAGAAAGAAAGGTTGGGCTTTGTTGTACATATTGGTATAGTTTTTCCTTCATTACTGATCTTCTTTTTTGAATCACATGTACTTTATAGCAAATAACACTAAAATTTTTAAGTTTCGATGATCATGATGTACACTGTTTTCAGGAATTATTCATATCAAGCGAAATCGAATGCACGCAACAGTACTGCTCCACTCGTTGTAACGGAGGGTAATTCAGCTGAAAATGTTGACATTGAAACACTGGAGGATCTAAGATGTGAATGGCAAGGATGTAAACGAAAATTTGCAAGCCAAAAAGTGCTAGTGGACCACGTTTTTACTGCTCATATCCAGGTATCTCTTTTGAAATTTAATTTACAGGTATAAATTTTGGATCTTCTTTTTGATTGTTTTTCTTATTTTCTTCTGGTAAAATTTCACATAGTATTTCAAAATACTGATTGCAATTTAGAATAAGAACGTTACAATAGAATTTGATTATCTTCTTGGAAGGAAGTCGTGCGGTACTGGAGAGGTGAGAATACTAAATATAGGCTTTCAATCTCATAAAATTGACAATACATTTATTATAAGTACATGGCTAAATCGCATGAAATTACAAGTCAGTTGTACTTTAAAGATATTTTTGTTTATAGGATGAAGTTATAACTAAGAAGATGACATTAACCCTGCATGCACGTCTTATGAAATGACACAAACATTATTTCTTATCTTTTATAGAGTTCTGAATAATGTTTCACGTCTTATGAAATGACACAAGCATTATTTCATATCTTTTATAGAGTTCTGAATAATGTTTTTTAGACAACAAAGGTTTATACATGTTTATGGGAAGGTTGTAAGCGCGAAGAAGCATTTAAAGCTCAGTATATGCTTGTTGTACATGTTAGACGTCATACGGGTGAAAAACCTAATGTTTGTACGGTATGTTTTCTCCATTGTTGAATTGGATATAATGCTCTAAATATAATTAGGATTCAGTTGCATGTTGGACGTAGTCCATCTTTTCTGTTTGGATCTGAATTGATTACTTATGGTACCAGTATACTTATTGGTTTTGTCTTTGAGTCCAAAATGTAACTGTAATCTTTTTTGGTGCCGACTTGTTAGTTGGGTTATTTCTTTTATTCAAAATTGCCACTTTTAGAACGAAAATTTATAAAAAATAATCAAAGTTGCTGTCAATTTTATAATCGAAGTCTCAGTGTTTAATCTTGTTCAAAAATGAAATATTTTGTCGAAAAGTTTGTTTTAGTATCCTGGTTGTGATAAATCATATAGCCGGTTGGAAAATTTAAAAACCCACGTGCGAACACATACCGGAGAACGTCCGTATCGATGTGAATTTCCGGAATGTGGTAAAGCTTTCAGCAATGCGTCCGATCGGGCAAAACATCAGAATCGCACACACTCCGATACGGTAAGCAAAGTTTTCCTTTTTTTTTCTGAAGGAAAAATATTCACGTGTGTTCGGAATTTGTTTCTTCTTAAATGTAAATGTATTTGCAAAAAATATTCAATATATAGTTTTATTCTCCATTCGTTTAATGTATTAAAATTTCGGATTTTATAAATGTTTTCTCGATTTCAGAAACCATATCAGTGCATGATAAATGACTGCATAAAAAGTTACACAGATCCGTCATCATTGAGAAAACATATCAAATCGGTTCACGGTGATGAAGCGTATGAATTAGCAAAAAAGAATAAAGTTTATCCGAAGCGACGTAATGGTATGGCATCAGATACAACGCAATCTTCATCGTCGAAGTACGAATGTTTTTGTGACTCAATTTGGATTAGAATTCGACTGATTCCCAGCCTTGATTCGCCTTCTATGCTATCGTTCCATGTTTCTCTGAACTTTAAAATCTCCAGATATATTAGAAAATACAAAAAAACAAAAAACTTCACATATGTTAGGAAACTTTCCTTCCGTCCCACTTATATCTAAAATCATAGCATTACAGTGTTAAAAAAAAAAACTAATTTTTTACAGAAGTGTTGTTGATAAGACTAATGATGATAGTGAAGATGAAATATATCGCATCAATTCGCCGACACAGATGCTGTTGTCTGCTTGTTTGCGTACTGTTGAGAAAAGTAAGCTACTTATGAGCAATATTTGGTAGCATATGACCAATATTTGGTAGCACTACCAATATTTGATGGCAGATTCTTCCTGAATTTTCTTTTACCCAAATTTGATTTTCAGTTAATGAAAACACACCTGAAGAAAAAATTCGTACTGGTAAAAAGAAGCGTCCAAAGCGAACACCTCCTTATCCTGATGTTTGTGTTAACGCGCATTACACTTCCGGGTGAATACTTACTTGTTCAACTTATATTTTTGCAGTTTTATTTTTAGAATGCTCACTGCTATGTCTTAAAATGTTCAATGCATTTGATCGATTAAAAAAGTTTTAATGTATTTCAGTGTGGACCCGTCATCTCCGGATTCTAATAGCTTCAGTGGACAAACAGTAACATCAGTTAATTCAAATGCTAGTTCTGGTACAGTGCAGGTTCCACACCCTTCAAATGTAACGAACAACAATGGAAACAGTGTATCGATGCTTGGGGGTCGTAGAGATTTTTGTGTTGATCGCTTCCTCCAGAACAAAGGTATGTTTGTTTTTCTTTAATTTTTCATAAGTCGTTTTGAGATTCTAAAAAAATAAAAGTCGAAGAGGAAAGAAGGAATTTATGAATTCTAGACAAGATTCTTCATTGCGACGACTCATCTATTCCATGTCCTTTTGTAAAAAACTAATCTATAGGACATTTCGATGATAGAAGCCTTGATGGGAATATATCTCATCACGAATGCCAGTCTCATTATGATGACTCATCACCGTCACCACCTTCAGCAAGGAATGCCGAAATGGCGAAGTATCAGAAAGGTTTTTATTTTTTCTTGATTTCTCTGCTACTCACTAGATTAGCAACGGGGAATTTCTCTTGAAAGGAAGGGTCAAAAAAAAACTGTATAGTTTTTCAGTCCACTGCTTTGCAAGCAATACATAAAGTTCAAGAAAATTCCAATATCATCTTCAGTTGGATATCCAAGGACTTCTTTCAGATGTTGAAGAATACATGTATAATCCCCAAAGAGCTTCTTCGATGGTGCGAAATACGTCACTTAGTTGTAATGTTGTGGGTGTTACTATGGGTCATTCAGTGTTACCAAATCAGAAGTAAGTTCTGAATATTTCTGAAAAATCTTCAGAAATTTTCTAGCTGATGTAAAAGAAAGATCCAGAATGCAGAAGTAAGAATAACTTGATTCATAAAATTAGTCTTTCAGCATCTCATGATAATATTTCAGCCGTTCGGTGGAACAGGTTGCATATGCTATGGAGCGCGTCAACTTACAACCAACGCCAAATATTCGTCGTCCACTAAATCAACATGTTCAACGGCAAGGATATTATAGTAATCCGGTATGATGTCTATATTTAATATTTTGTTGTAATTTTAAAGAGAAGAATATCTAAATTAAGAGTGCCGAGTTTTTTTTTTTAATATGAATTGGTGCTATTTTGTGATGTTACCTTAACATCTTGCTGAAACTGGTATTTTTATTAGGATTAACAGCTGATAGTCTAATAATGTTTTCGATCAAGAAACTCTACTTTAGAAATAGTCTGAAAACATTGCCATTGTGCTCATCCTTTCATTGATTGCTTCAACAGATGCCTTGCGAGTTTGTGTTTGCATGTCATCAAAGACTATTTGCAGTAACCGGTAATAAGCCGTACCATGCACCACGAGGTACTAATGGATACATGCAGTTTTTTTGTTTTAGTACGATGGTGATTATGAGGATTTTGATCCGATGGATCCATATCCAACTTCTGTAGGTGACAGCGGTAGTATGGTTACAGCTATCACGCCACCAACAGGCCATCGAAAGTGTAAGTGTTCCGTTGCTCTGTGATTTTTTGTTTGCTGTATCTTTGTTTTTTAAATAATTTTATATACTAAATTTGTGTTGTTGGTTCCGAATACATGAGTCACAATACTGTAAATTATCCTTAAATTTAACATTACTATTCCCTTGAAATTGAATTTTAAGTCATGAGAATGAATAGGAAGTCTTGAAGAGGAGAAAATTTGCAAAACACAAATTGAAAAATTTCTCCGTGAATTTTATGATCTCCAGATTCTCCTGTAACTGTCGTTGAACAAGCGGTACAGACTTACGATTGGGGAGCATCAATGAAAGAGATCGATGTGGCTGCACCTGTTCAAGTTCAAACAGCACCATCGAAAACTATAGAAACAGAAAAAGGAACAACGATGGTGAGTTTCTTTATTTGTTGGGAAAGTATATTTAGAAATATTTTTTTAATATGGCAGTTTTCCACTCTTCTAGAAGTCTCTCGCGCATTTTTGACTGGTAATGATCTGTTATTATCGAAATTGCCGAAATATGTTCCCAAAAACTCCTATAAGTTTAAAAAAAAAAAGAAAAGAAAAACCATTGTCTGTTAGCCAGTTGGAACTAGGTGGCTCATAGCGCTGATATCATAATTAAATTTGAATCAAACTAAACTATTTGACAACAGATGGTGAACGTTCAATTGCTCTAAAAAGTGATCGTTTACAGCGTATGATTTATTTCGTTTAAATCTTTTGAATTTCTCGTTTGAGATTTTGCATTGCGTATGCATGTTCTGTTGAATTGATTTGCAGACATGTTTAACACCGATGAAACTGCCAATACAGCGACGGGAAGGAGTGCAAGATGATCTCTATACATATAGTAGTAATACGACTGCAACGCCTGCAACCCTTTCATCTCACCATCCAATGAAAATTAAACCTAAGCAAGAGTGTGGTACTTACAAAATCGAACAAATAGGTTGTTGCTGTTATATGTCTGAATGAAAATGTTGTAAATAATTTTTGTAGTCGTTAACTGTTATTGTATTACTTCCATGTTCGTTACCTGTTGCGAAAGATGATGTCCTTGGTCCATTAATAGAGTATTTCATCACTACTTTTTGGGTTTTTCAGGCTCGAAAATAGCGTTGTAGTCTTCTGGAACGGAAAAGTTTGTAACAGAAGTTCAAAATTAACAGAATTCGGTGTATTAAGTGTGACTTTTTCTGACAAGTCTTTGAACAATATTGTGCGATCGTTTTTAAATAGAGTAGGAATGAATTTAGGAGGAGTTTCTTTTTAGTCATGGATAGTGTAGGTAGTGGAGTTAGAAGCTTCTGCTTAGTTTTCCTTAACCAAGGAAGCTTGGTTATAATTTTTTTTGTAATTTTTGGAAATAGTTTTTTTTCTTGAAGAGTAGAGGTTTTGCAGAGAAACAATGTACAGCAACCGGAACACAGCAATCAAATTCTGTGACTGATAGGAATTATTGCACGGAATCGTTACCGACAAACGATTTCACATCAGATCCTGTACTTCCAAACGTTCATATGCAACAGATGCTTGGTGGTACGGTAGATCCACAATATCCAGTATCCCCAAGTACGTACGATCATTCAGCAGTACCTTACGGGAGCCAATATACGGACCCGTTAATGATGTCTTCCTGCATGCAAATCAACACGGATAATGTAAGTAAATATACGTTTTACGGGATTTTTATCCTTATGTATAGTTGTGAGATTTGTTTGCTTATCCATTTGTGTGCGTTTGTATCTGTGTTTTACTTATGTGTCTTTTGTATTACGCATGCTTGTGCCCACTTTTTTGTTTTTAAATCTCAAGAAGGCATGATTTCGTAATTTCTTCCGGGAATGTTACTCTAAAAACCCTCACTTTCGATGTTTTTCTTTTTTGATTTATGTTTAATTACCTATTTTTGCTTTTTGACACGCTACTTAAGCGTTTAGCTTTATTTTTCCCTTTTGTTGGCGTGCAAAGGTTGATGAGGACTCACTATCATATCTGCATTATTCGAGCAGTAATATGGCATTTTTGAGTTTTCTTTAAAGTCACATGACCGAGAGCGAATATATTAATATTTCTTGGGTTCCATATCTTTAATTCTTTCTCGACTAGCTTGACAAGTTCTGTATTAAGACTTCATGCACTTATGATTTCGTAGATTCTTCGAATATTTAAAATTTTGAATTCCATTGCTTTCTCTCCGCATGAAATGCTACTTATTATATAAACATTTCTTTATTTGCTTCCTGCTTTCCTTGCACGTTTGTGATTTCAATTAAATCAGTTTGATGTTCCAGCTATAATTGCATAACTTTTGGAAGTATTACACCTTCATCATTGCGATTTGTCCTTTTTTCATAACATCACACGCACATAACGTTTTAATAAATTTTGTGAAATATGGGTTCTTCATATTTCAGTCTAGATACGGAAGAGATAGTTTCAATGTAACGGATCCACATTCGAGCAGACTACAAATCGAAATGGTAATTTCCGGACGTTATGTCATTTTTGAATGATAATGTAGAGGTCTCATGTAAAATAATTCATGATTCCAAACGTGGTTTGAAAGTCAAACGTAGTAATCTACTATATTGAAACAAAGCTGGAATTTGCAAACGATCTTGCACTTGGGAAAATTCGATAGAAAAAGTCTTTAAAAGTATTTTCCATATGAATTTCTGAGTAAATATTTAATGAAAAAAAAACTGGTTCAGTTTTGTAAACTCTGGATCAACAGCTCCATGGGCAAGTAAATTGGGAAAAAGTGATTAAATGTGGACTTCTTAATTGTTTTTCGGAAAACCTAATGTTAACTATATTCAACATGCGACTGCGTATCAGTGGAAGACATCCTATGTTGAATATCTGTCTGAATAGTTAAACTATAAAGTGTAATGAAAAATTATACCATGAAGAATACAAAACACAGAAAATGACGAAACCGTCTTGATAATTTTGATGTTATTAACTTCGCTTACCAAAGATTTTTCTTCCTTTGATGTAGCTGGTCTGCGATGTAAATTTTACTGAGGTTTAGTTAATTTTTTTTTTTTCCATCACTCATTTCTGATTGGTGAGTAGTGCCATTTGAAATCGGCTTCATGATCTGGACTGTATACTCCCCAGAATACATGGCCATCTGGAATGACTGGGACGGGATGTTTTTTTCCAAAAGATTGTGTGGATTTAATTACAAAATCAGAATCCTATTTAATTACAAGTCAGAATCCTATTTAATTAATTACAAGGAATTTGTAGCCGGAAAAAGACTCACTGCAAGACCTCGGTAACGATGATTTATTTGGTGATTTGGCTGGCATGGATCCGATTGTTCTCAGCAATGTCAATGAACTGACATCTTCATTCGAAAGTATTGAGTTGAGGAATTTGGAAACAGAAAGATTAAACGCGGATGAACAACCGACTGCAGAGTGAACTATTCATTATAAAATATAGGATGCGATGGTAAGTGCCGGTGTACATTGTATTATCTGCTTTTTCTCCTGCTACGCTAATTATTACATCACTACTTTTTTCTTGCTTCGATTTTTGCATGAAATATTTTGTAGTTTCTCCAGGAATTAAATACCATTTGAAATGTTTTTATATTTATAATTTTGATACTTTTATATTTGTTTTATCAGCCATATTACGCAACTGAGGTTTTGCTGTTCATTTGGTTAATTAATTTTGAAAATTTGCAAATCATCTTTTCGTGGTTTGACAACAGATGTTCCTCAGAAGAGAGTAATTTGGAATTTTTTTTCCTCTTTGAATTTGAAGGGAGTATCTGCTGCTGTATTTATTTTGCTTCGGAAGCGTACAAAAGAAATTTGGTTACAGCCGTCAGTCTTCAGCTTCTGATACGGCAGTTAAGGTTTTTTTGACGGAAATATCCGTGTCATCTAATCAGGGACATCTCCCTGAAAAAAACTGAAAAAAACAAAAAATGCACATCATAAAAACGTAGTGATCAAAGACGCATGCAACAGAAGGATGCATGCATTTAAATTGAAACACGTATGTGAAAGAAATTCTTAAAGTACATCTGTAAAAGTCTACCACAGTAGTGCATGGACAGGGAAACAATGATGATATGGTACATAAGTATAAACAAGCTTATTAATGTGATACATAAATCTTAATCAAGTTCAGTATCAGGATAACTGTATTGTGTATATCGTCAATTGGTTTGTTTAACGTGATAGAGAGCTGTTTTGTGCCTCTGTAAGATTTTTATATTTTTATTTTTGTATCTCTCGAATGATCCTGAGCATATTACATTGGCGTGACATCGGCTCTGAACTACTTTGCTCTTCTTACTTTCTATCCGGGTCATATTAAACATGTGTTTAAATAACATTCTTTTTATTTGTTCATTTCAAAGTATTTGTCTATGTAAGTGAGGTAGAGAGAGAAAATTCATTATTTATTCGGGTACTTCTTGTCTACTTATAATTATCTGTCTGTCATATTCTACTGACCCCGGAACAGTGTTACTATTCCCTAAAATTTCTCAGTTATAAATGCCCTTCTTTCCTTCGCCTTTTTCCGCACCTCTTGGGCATCTTAGTAACACATTTCATGGTGGCACTTCATTTTTCACCTTTTTCAGAACCCTAGTTTCGAGAAATTTGTGTAAACTGAATTTTGTAAATTTTAGATCTGAAAAGTTGCAATAAGGGAATGAAGCTCATAACGGAAATAGTTAGACCTTTTCCTTTTTTGGAAGCATGCTTTTCTTTTAGCACCAAAAACGACACATCAATTGGGAAAACGTTCATGAATGACTTGTCTGTATATCATGACAATCAAAGAATAATTATAAGGCTTAAATCTGATTAGTAATCTACTAATATCAATTAAAGTAAAACCTAGGAGTCAGTCGCCCTTTTATACCCTTAAAGGTTATGGTTTTGTTAGGATGCACCTATTTACAATAAAGTCAGTCTAAAACCGTGTTCTTCCAGAATGGTTCTAATAGAGAAGCTTCATTCGCTCTCATTTCTTCATTTTCATATATATATTTTCCTATCGTAGTTGTCTGCATTGTTTTTCTCGATCACTTTAAACTAATTTAATAATTATTTCTGACTTCCAATTTTTCAATAATTTTATCATTTTGTGGATGTTGCTATTTTTCTTATATTGTTTATTTTGTCATCCTGAACAGCTCTATTTAAGCTAGTATTATACAAATGGAATATTTCAATTTCTTTTTCCAAACATATATCATTTTGTGATCACTATTTCAAACAGAACGATATTGTATGTGAAATTCGAGTAAATTTGTCAAAATCGTATGTTAAGGTTATCTCTCACATTGTATTTTCATTTGACAGTTTAGAGTTCTGTCATCGTGGAAGAAAAGTTATTTGGCAAACAGAGTAACTAGAGATTTTGGAAATACCTTCTCTGCTTAAACGACCAAAAAATGATTTCGGAAAACGAGTTGTCTTGGGATTGTCTCTGGTACCAATATATGATGCTATTCACACATAGAAACAAAAAAGCGTGAAGCATTTGCCTCAAATTTTCATGGAAAATACTGCCGTACTAGGAACGCACAGTTCGCAGATATTAGCAACTTCTGATGTTGAAATCTTACAGTGTTAAGGACTTTTTTTTTACCCCACTACAAATGATTTTTCCAGTACCTCAGACCTGACTTGTTCCGTTCTCTCAGAAGGCTCTGATACAATGGATAAACGATTCGGCATTCGTCGAAATCAGGAATACTTTTGATAGTCAGCAATTCAAAATCTCTGATTTAGCACTGCAAAATTTCAATTATCACCACTGATGTCTCCTTGTAAGTAAACGTGAAGTACTTCGATAATTGATGTTCCGCAAAACGTTGCTAAGATTGCACCGTTTTCTCGTAGTGTTCCAGAATCGCAGCATTCCGGTTATAACAACCGCTGCCAGCTAATTACAGCACACAATTGTTGGAACGAAACCTACTTTAAAAAAAAAAAAAAAAAAAAAAACACACACAAATATGTTAGGTAAACTACCGTTAACAAATGGATGTAAAATTTTTCAAATTTTTAAGTTATTCTTACTTGCTTTTTCGTCATTCTCAGATCTTCTCTTACAAAGGATGTCTCTACAATCAATCAACTGAAATCTATTCATTTTATAGGTTAAACTAAACGATTTTATGTCTAGCACTGCAATTCTTTCCATGCAACGAGATCCATTACGAAAATACACTTCAACAACTGATCGGGTGGTCTCAGCGATATTGTGAAAAATTAGTTTCTTTTCTTTCTTCAAATTGATTTGACTGTTTCTAACTTCATCTGAAATTTAGATTCTAAAGACGTCGTCTTTTTTCTTTGGTTTGTAGTCTGAAAATTACAGCAGAAATTTAATTCTACATGGTTAAATTTAAAATGACTTTCGAAGATATATATATTTTTTGTGGAAAAATGAGCAAGAAACATCCGAAAATACATAAAGAAGACCTAGGAAATATTTATTTCTTCCGCCTCTTTGTTCAGCTGAAATCTATTCA